TTCTAGAGTCAAAAGTACTAGTTATAACGGCTTTACTTAAATCTACCTATCTGAAGTTAAAAAGATCTTTATTATTTGAATGGAAGATGAACCTAAGGTTTATTATATATATATATATATATATATATATATATATATATATATATATATATATATATATGTGAATAAAAACGTGGGGCATTAATTAGATGGAGTCCAGAAGCTTATAAGATGAATTGTTTGATAACTGTAGAAGGTTTGAACAGTTTATACAAGTTTAAGATCATTTGAAAATAGATGTAAAAAACGAAGCTACAAGGTGGCAATCATCTAGGATTCGAAACTGATAAGATGGATTACATACTGGTTATAAACTTGAAGAGTGTACATAGGTTTTGAGAATTAGACAGGTGAAAAACACAAATGAATGAAAAGACGATCTTAGGGTACGTGAAATAGCAATTAGTTTAGAGAAGATTACATAACAAAATAGACACAATAATAATTCGAGGTGATTTTAATCAAAAACGTAAATTTATCAAGATAATCATAAATCGATAACCATCTCTTTCGGAACACATAAATCAGGCTTGCTACTGCTTCAAAGAGATGTAAAGAAGCCGAACTTTGGAGTATTAGTAAACGCCAAGAGCCTCCCGACTATCAATTGGATATCAAGCTATTGCACTGATTACAGCTGTTGCATCTTTTAGTCTTTTCGAAAGTGCTTGAAAATGCGGATATTTACTTTTATCCCTGTTCTTTCAACGAACCGGATAAAAGCCATATTGACTAAACTGGTTATTATTGATGCTTAGAACTGGTTGTTGTTTTGCAGTCTAGTGTTCGTATAAAAAAAGTTCTGGTGCTCTTCAGACATAAGTTTTCATAGCCTACTCACTATTCAGTATAACTGGAGGAGTACACTCAAAATATAATAAATTCGTGATCGAAATATGAAACAAAATCTATCGTGTCACACCACTTTTCCTAATAAATTACTTGGTCTGAAAAAAAAAATTCGAATAAGGTAAGAACTCAACCTGTATTCCTCTAAGATAGTTCATGCTAAATTGAAAATCATCAACCTAATCAGTGAAAGATGTAAAGAGACCAAAGATAAACAAAATATGATAATGATTCATAATTGGATAAAGGTCTGAAATTTCTCTATGATTTTGGTTATCAATTTGATATTGTAAGCTTTCCCATTTTATTGTTTCTAACTAAACGACTTTTAATTCCTTTTAATAATTAAAATAAACGGATTTCCGGTTATTTTTTCCGAAAATGCAAACGAATATACGAGAAAATCAATATTTTGTTTCGCAATAATTTCTGAATAGCTAAATAATTATGACGATTTCGTCTAGTCAAGCCAACAAAAAAAATAGAATAGTGAATGGATTATATTCCAATAAGTTAATTTTCAATTCATAGAGCTGTACGGGATTTTAAATTTGCTTATCATCATCAGGAAACCAACTACAACATTCTAGTATTAAAGTACATAATTAAGGAAAGTAGGTTATCGAATGAAAGGTTCATGCACATATATGTAAATGACAGGACGTAAAATAATCTCAAAAAAAGGAAGACGTAGGTTACCTAAGGTGAATATGAAATAAGAATTTGTAACTGGAAAAAAAACTAATAAATAGTGACCTTTGTGTATTAACTACTAACAACATTGTATAGATAGCTCTGGTGTGCAAATAATGTCAAGGTGTATATCCTAACCAAACCTCGTTCAGCTGTCCTATAGCTATCTCATGAGAAATGAGCACTTTTTACAATAATTTGGCAAAGGTGTATCAACTACATCCTTTCTTTTGTAACATGTATTACACTCAACTTTAAATTCAGTATTTGAAATCGATGGCATTTTGCTTAATATTTTTAATATATTCACCTACGCATGTATTAAATTGCTGAAACCTTAGAAATGTACATACTCAGATTATTTTTTAAGCCATGTTTATAAAAAGCATTGCCTATTCCAAATAACGATTCTTGATTAACAACCATTTTCTTATTTAAAAAAATAGGGTTTCCATCCTTTACACTTAAGGCTAATCAAGACCACTGAATAAATTCTTCAGATCAACAAATAACTCTTAAATTAAGTACTTGCTGAATTAGATAAATTTTATAATCAATGTTTTGATCGTCCCTTAATTTGAAGACTTTTACAAATAAACCAGTTTTCATAATGATATATTTCAGAATATAAAAAATGGTGTTGTTGATCAATCTAACGCGTAAACATTTAAATTAAACAATATTATAGCATAAAAATGTTAATTTTAAACTTTATATGTATTTGAGTGGTTTCTTGAACCATAAAGGCACTATGTATTGAATAACATATGGCTATTGAAATTTGTGAAAACATAAAAAACTAACCAAAAATGTACTCATAAATGAGAAAATTTATAGACTATCATTAATATCACAGATAAAATATATTGATTTTGAAAACAAAATGGTTGGATCAGAAAAAAACTACATAGAACATAACAACGGATCAAAGAGCAAAACTAACTAGGTATATAATTTTTTTAAGGTTGACTCATTGATTAAAGCTATCAATCATAAAATGATACTAATATAGATTTGTTTAATCGCAACATGTAAAAGATACTAGTAAACATAACTATAACAACTAAAATAACTAGGGATTTCAATCAACTGTGTAAAGAATAGCTATTTACTTAACATTTTCATATTAATAGTCAAGAAGAGAATTGTTATGGACGCCAGAGAATAATGAAAAAATAGGTTAAACACTGAAAATCTGAAACATGCTTAATATAGCCAAAGTATGATAGACTTTATTGATCAAGTATATACAACAAAAGCCATCATGTGGATTTCCGACAAATAAACCTTAAGTTTCTTCTTCAAACCATAAGGATCCATTGAATAAAGGTCAAATCTTAAGTGCTAAATGATATGATTTTCATAGTCAGACTTTTTCCATAATTTTTCTTAATGAAGGAGTAATTAAGGGTGTTACGTAAAAGGTTGATATGTAACCAGTGTAAGAACAATTATATATCTATAAGTCTGTCACGTTAACTCGTAAGAGATCCGAGGATGTACTTTAAACTTCTTTTACATACAACGATATATTATCTCAATATTACAAAAAGTAATACATGAGTTATCTGTAATCCAATAAGAAAGGGACTTGGTTAAGTTTTCATAAAAGTAATGGAATCGTATAATATTCCTAATCAAACGAATAATTTGTCATAAATTTAGTTGGTGACCGTTTCTGAGGGGTTTACGTAAGGGCTCATATGAAGTGGAAATTCAATTTGTAAAGGTGGTATGGAAAGAATGGCAAGTCTTAGTGCTGAATATTGATATTGATAATTACATATGCTTTTACTTTCTTACCGCATCAAACCTAGAAGAATTAATCAAATCAAATGAAGTTGCCAACTGTATAGCAATACTAAAAATGGGTTTAAAAAATCATCATTCAAGAAAGAGATTAATTACAAGTAGCATAAGTATTCTAAGCAATATTCACCCATATTGTGGAGTACGAATCAGTTCATTCAAGGCAAACAGACTATACTAAAACAAACAAGTAAACCGGATAAAAATTTGTTGGCTAGAAAAACCTCGGGGCAGAAATTGATTTGTAAACCTAGAATATGTAATATCAAAAATATATTTTGGGAATAGATATAATTCAGTAATTTGTTAGTCTAAAGTTCCATTCATAAGTAGTGAGAACAATAGTGATTTGGTGTTCTATATAACACTACTCAAAATAACTCACTATTTAGGCTGCTAGTTGACTAGAAAACCACTCAATAATAAGAAACATTGCACTGAAAATTTTGCCGCTTTATTCTTATAAGTGTAGTGAGAAAATTTAAATGATGGACAACTTTAGACACTATGTAACAAGATTACTAGAGTAATGAACCAGAATGTTACCGAAATGAAAAACACCAGTAGGAAGAAAAACTGACGCTATATGAGGTAAACATAATTTAAATTTCCTCAGTAAATATCAATACTCAAACTATATGGGTATTTTTTTACCCAATTATCACTGACGCTTCATTTACTTTGCGAGTAATAAATCAAGTAAGCTATAGCATGAGTACATCGTGCGATTTCGACTTGAGAAACAACTTCAGTAGGCTAGATGGTTAGTATGCTTAAATACGACTATTGGGTGGAGAGTACGCGAAACAGTAAATATTGCTTTATAAGCTAAATTAGAGAAGTGTCGGGTCTTTTATAGCCTACCAATCTTAAGATAAGTGGGAAAGATATCCATACTATGATGACCGACTTTCTGAACCCTGTTACTTAGTCTCTAATCATAGTAAGAATCATTATAGATCCTAGGCCTTTTCTCCGTAATATACGCTTAGTCTTGTACTTTCTCTAATTGCGCCTAAAATTTAAAGATGATTACTTTTATACATACTCCGGATGATTAAATAAAGTTTACGACACGAAAGTTTAAATTTATGTGAGAAAATTTACCACTTAACACTTCAGAATAGATATGTGATAGCGAAACAGGCTCATTAACTCAGTATGTTCAAATTCATAGAATTATTAAGAAGTTTCATTTGTCCAGTTTCTTTTTCAGATATGTTATAACTTGACAAAACATTAATGTGATTATTTTTTGTAACTCCAGAATGGCTGGCACTTTCTACTTGTCATAGTTGAACAAAGAATAACATGGCCCGATGTAAGGGAAAAGATAAAGATCAGAGATGAAGACTTTATTATCTGTTGAAAATAAATGCAAAACTATAAGTAAATACACTAATTGATATCTGATTTACTTATCTAATTACTAGTTGGGTGTGAATACATTGAACTGAACAATGCTTGACGTTACTTAGTTAGTAATTTAATGTACGTATTCAATTTACAATATCAACTAAATAGACTATTTTGATGAGCAAATGTAACTAAATTGGTGGGCTATTATTTGTTTCTTACTAACAGCATATATTAAAGATGAATATATGAATGGCTTCTATTGCTCAAGTTAGGAAATGCAGTGATGTAATCATACAGAAAACCAATACTTAATCTCTACTTGCAAATTGTAACAAAAGATTTAAAAACAGGAACTCAAAAGTTACTCTTTATTACATGAGAATTGTAGAAAAGTAGTAATTAATGATAGGTGGATGATATTTTAAGCCTTATTTGTACAGAAAATGTCCACTACAATCGAATTCCTGATATAGACGCTTTTTATTTATCTTAAGAGTTCAATCGAATGGAACAATAAACAGAAATGTCAGTGATTAAGAACTAGTTGAATTTGTGTACAAAATGCCAAAAATTAGGAAATTTTTAAAATTTGAGTTTCGATAGTTCATTTTCCAAGGCTTCCTTTTCGAGTTGTGGAACGAAACGATCTTCATCTAAGGAATCGTCTGTCTGTAATAAAATATAACTTATTAGCTTTAATAATCAAACGATACCTTTCCAATATGAATTTTAATCCCTGAAGATAAATTCTGGTAGATCAGGTCTAATAATATTGGTAAGTGAACAGCTTTCACACCCGATATCTGAGGAAATCACAAGAAAAGTAAAAAGGAATAAATAGTGATACTCTATATATTCTTCGAAATTCAGATATTTCGAAATCTGACCGGATATTTGTCGAATTAGTATGATATAGTCGGTAGAGCTTCTTGCTGGGAGGCAGAGGAAAACTAATTTAAAATAATTTAAAATTAATTGATTTAAAAGTGGTGCAAACTTTTCAACTTCATAACCACAATTGATGAAAAACTTGTGAACGTATGAAGTGAATCTCTCTAGCTGCACGTAGTCATGCCCTCTTATGTCAAACTGCACACTTTGATAAACATGCATAGGTGGTTTGACAGACTAATTCACCTAAATAAAAAGCCTTCATCAGTAACTGTACTTACCAAATAAGGTGGATCAAAACTTTTTAATTTGATACCATAACTTCGATATCTATTTGTATGAAAGCTAAGTGGTAATCAAGTCTTACCGATAGGCAATTTGTAATGGAGTATCCTTCCTGAGTATAAACTTAAATAACTGCATGATTTTACCGATCAATCTAGAGGGAAAGGAAGAGTATATGCAAAACAGGATAACACCTCTCGTGATATACCCCACAAATATACATAAAGGAACTTTGGTGTGACAAAAACAGGAAATTATACCTGAATTAATGAAGTAAACACGTAAGCCGCTATGCTGTTCAACATCACGGGAGGTAAAAATGAAGTATGGAAATGAAAAAGGTGAGTACAATTTGTTTCGCAATACCTTTAATCTGATAAGATGTTTAAGATCTAAAAAACAAGAATACCCATCTACTTATGATCCAATTTGATTCGAAAGCGACCCACTGACGGTCCTTAGTCGTCTATTTCTAACATTCTACAGATCTAGTAAGGGTAAAATACTCAAAAATATCCCAAGTTAACAATGTGTGATATTATTGGTCTAGGTGCATGTGTATGACACGCTTATTTGATGAAATCTTAGAGCCCATATACAACAACATTCAAAATACATAAAGAAGAAAACACTATGTAATATACTTCTCCGCACAAAGTCTCAGATATTTGTAGATATGTTGGCCAGTCTAGTTATTTTAAAGTTTGTTTTCCAATCTATGCACTCAACCTCCAATACGACTGGAACCCTAGCGAGTGCTTTAAGAAAAAGATAATTTAGCATTAACCTCCGACGAATGGTATGTTTCGCCTCGAACAATTATTGAACTGATACTAATGGATAGGGATTAACGTAATATTCACTTTTATCAGTTGGCTTTATTGAAGCCAGGAATTAGTTATTAAAATGAAACCGTGGTATCTGTCTTCGTTCTTACCATGCATACCAAGTTTCGCTTGGAATTAATGAAATCGTCCCATTTGAGACCGAATTAAAGAATCGAAACAGATGACTGAAAGTAAATTAACGTTGCTCGGTGTGTTAACAAGCAAATTTGTTTAAAGGCTGCATCAGTCTGGACAGCTTAGTAATTGACTGGCAAGGTATACCTCCGCCCGCAACTTAAGTCGCAATAACGAGCAAAGCAGAAAATTTCTCTGGACAGAGGAACAAATATCAGTTTGAAGATGAGTTAATATTAAAGCAAAATATTCATAAAAAAACCGAATCGTTCTCAGGAGGTTGGCATTAGTAGAGCGACACACCTAAATTGACAGTTGATGGTTTACAGATTAGCCGCTAACAAAACATATATTTGGAAATGCCTTAATTAATTTACATTACAAAGATATTTAGTTCACTAATGGCAATATGGTCAGCATAACATGAACAATCATGAACACCTTAGAAAACCGTAACATTACCTACAAACTTTGCGCAATACGATTCAAATGGTTTAGATGGTTGTGGACGGAATAGAAGCTTTCGCTTAACGGGCTTCCGTGTCTAGTAGCAGTGAGTCACCAGTACCTCCAGGCAAGAACCTAGATATATTAACGATAAAAGAGGAAAAAATGAATTTGGTAAGTCATAATAATATGTTATCCTTAGTCCTTAAAAATAAATCAAGTTTCTTCTTAAAGGACTCTTGGGGAGTCGCTTGGACTAGCGAATTCCATCATTTGACAACTCTTGCGGAGTAGAAGGTGCGTCTATAATCTGTTCTGCTATGTTGGGTCTCCAGTTTCAGTGCCGCAAAAGGCACTGTTGGGCTGAATATAAACGAACTGATAACAACGGCGCGTACAGGCAATACAAACATATAAGGAACACATGCACAAAGGCAATAAGAGAAGACAGGCTTCAGTTCCAGACCAAGCTTATCGATAGATTCGTCTCCAATCCGAAAAGCTTGTTCAGTTATGCAGCTTCTCTTCGACAAGGCAAAACTGGAGTTTCCCAACTGCTTGGTCCTAATGGCCCGACCAATAACGACAGTGATTCCGCTAACCTTTTGGCTGAACATTACTCCCGGACATTCCAGCTGACCCACATCAACCATACTGACGAAAGCTTCACCTGCACCTGTACAGGACTTTCCGAAGTGGACCTGAGTGCTGACTTGGTGCTCCGTAAACTGCAGAACCTAAAAAAAGACACTTCTCCTGGTCCGGACATGGTTCATTCCTCTGTATTGAGGGAAGCAGCTTCAATCCTGGCGACACCACTTAGCGTGATGTTTGCACACTCGCTAAGCAGAGGCAAACTACCGGAAATATGGAAGCTGGCCCACATCACACCAATTTTCAAAGGAGGTCGACGCAGTGAACCCTCAAGCTACCGACCAGTGGCCCTTCTCTCCATACCTTCAAAAATTATGGAATCCCTAGTATTCGACGGCATACTAGAACATTTATCATCCTCAAAGTTCTCGCCTCAACAGCATGGTTTCAGAAAAGGTCATTCTTGTATGACCAACCTGCTGACTGCGGTGGATAGATGGACAACCATCCTTGATCGCAAGGGAAAGGTTGACGTCATTTACCTGGACTTCTCAAAAGCTTTTGATAGGGTCAACCATGAATGTCTTATCAAGAAGCTTGGACGATTGGGTATAAAACCCCCTTTAATTGACTGGATCACTTCATACCTAGAAAACCGACACTTTAAGGTCAGGGTTAGCTTCACTCTCTCTCAGGCTATGGAATGTCCTAGTGGGGTCCCCCAGGGCTCAATACTAGGACCTCTTCTCTTCTTGATCTACATTAACGATCTTCCTCAACAAGTTTCATCTGACTTATTGCTTTTTGCTGATGATGTGAAACTTTGGAGAGAGATACGTAATCACAATGATATACTAGCACTTCAGGAGGATCTGACTCGACTTCAAAGTTGGGCAAACGACAACGGACTTACCTTCAACACTTCAAAGTGCAAGGTAGTCCACCTGAGACATGTTGCAGACTATAGTTATAACTTAGGTAACTCACCTCTAGAAGTTTCCCAAGTTGAAAAAGATTTAGGAGTGTTGGTACCCTACGACCTGAAATCGTATGCGAACTGTGACAAAAACGCCTCTCAAGCAAACCTTGCACTGGTAACATTGAAGCGCATTTTTGGCCAGTTTGACGGTAGAACCTTCCACATAATCTTCAACAGTTTCATTCGTCCCCACTTAGAGTACGGAAACATAGTATTTCCTCCCTCACTCCAAAAGGATAAGGTCACTCTGGAACGTATACAACGTCGAGCCACGAAATCAGTTCGGGGTCTCAAATTCAAGAGCGCCTCAAATCACTTAACCTTTACCCGTTAGAGTACAGGCGTCTTAGAGGTGATCTTCTTATGACTTATAGTATCCTTAATACTTCTGGTCATCCCCTTAAACAACTTCTTAAGCTTAGTCATAACACTAACCTCAGAGGTAACACCCAGAAATTGGAGACCCTACATAGCAGAACAGACTGCAGACACAACTTCTACTCCGTTAGAGTTGTCAAGTGCTGAAATTCGCTGCCGACTGAGCTAGTCCAAGCGACCTCCCAGGAGTCCTTTAAGAGAAAACTTGACTTATTCTTAAGGACTAAGGATAACATATTATTATGATTTACCAAATTCTTTTTTCCCTCTATTATCGTTCATATACCTAGGTTCTTGCCTGGAGGTATTGGTGATCCACTGCTACCAGACACGGAAGCCCGTTAAGCAAAAGCTTCTTCTATTCCGTCCTCAACCATTTGAACCATTTTGAACCATTTGGGTATTACCCCTTAGGTTAGTGTTGTAGCTGTAAATAATTCCCCAAAATCAATAGCTCTCTAAGTGCTCGACATTGAATGCTGGCCCAGAACTGTAATCAATCACAGTATACCAGGTCTCTCGACCACGAGAGACAGATAATCCCGACTGGTGCTGGTATCATAACCAGTATGGCAAATCTAGAAATTGCGGGAAAACCTGTAATTACCCGAACACTAAGTCGACTGACACGAATAAAAACTCGAGAAACTTCCTAACCGGCACGCGTTGACGGCAACCATAGCCGGCGAACATAGCCGTCTGTTATACGTCACAGATGTGACTACGAAAGTCCGCTACCTCGTCGACACTGGCTCAGAAGTTAGCATTCTTCCCGCGAAGTCTAACGACAGGCTTCATGAGTCTGTTTTAAGTTTACAGGCGGCAAACGGAAAACCGATTGCTTCGTATGGAAAAAGGTACGTTTACCTTAACGACGGTTTACACAGACCCATTCACTGGATTTTCGTTGTCGCAGATGTTTCTATGCCAATCATTGGTATAGACCTGCTACAATACCACAATCTACTCATCGACACACGCTCACGAAGGTTAATAGACGGAAACACTAAGTTATCTGTTTGCGTAACTCCTTTTTCTGGTTGCAGATTATCCTCAGTCACAATTAAGCACTCCATAGACCACTTATAGCAACCACTAATCGATAAGTACACTGAGATATATCAACCACAACCGAAATTGCCATGTGTAACCAGCAATGTTACACATCACATCTCGACTACAAGACCACCTATATTCTCGAAAGCACGCCGACTCGCTCCCGAAAAGCTTAGGTTAGCTAACAACGAATTCGACCACATGATAGACTTAGGAATAATTCGACCATCAAATAGCCCTTGGTCATCTCCCTTGCACATGGTCCCTGAGAAGGACAGCAATGACTGGCGTCCAACTGGTGATTATCGGCGTCTGAATGCTAAAACCATTCCCGATCGTTACCCGTTGCCCCACATCCACGATTTGACAGCTACCTTGAAAGGTACAACTGTCTTTTCGAAAATCGACTTAGTTAAAGCTTACAACCAAATGCCTATGGCAACTGACGACATCCCGAAAACCGCCATTACAACTCCTTTCGGCCTCTACGAATTCTTACGAATGCCTTTCGGTTTAAGAAATGCCGCTCAAACCTTCCAAAGGTTCATAGACGACGTCTTCCGAGGTCTAAACTTCGAAATTGCGCATATTGATGACTATCTCATAGCAAGTCCGGACAGAGAATCACATCTCCAGCATCTGGACATTGTTTTCGAACGACTCCAAAGGCTTGGCATTGCTGTTAACATTCAGAAATGCCAAATCGGAACAAACTCCTTAGACTTCCTATGACACATTATTGATGCTCATAGCATCCGACCCCCTAGAAGCAAAGCGGCGGCCATTCTGGATTACCCAGAACCGACCACGATTAAGTAATTATACACTTTCAACGGCCTTGTAAGTTTCTGTAGACGGTTCATACCAAATTGCGCATCACTTATGAAACCGTTAACCGACCAACTACGTGGAAATACAAAATCAATTAGTCTAGACGACACCGCTCGAAAAGCATTCTCCACAATTAAGGAACATTTCGCTAAGGCAACCCTGCCTGCGCATCAAGACACTCAAGCGCCCATTAGTATCGCCGTAGACGCCTCCGATTCAGCGATCGGAGGAGTCTTACAACAATGGGTCAACAACTCTTGGCAACCTTTAGGATTTTTCTTCAGACAGTTGCTAAACACTGAATCTAGGTACAGAATTTTCGGTAGGGAACTCCTAGCTATGTATTGCGCTGTACGGAATTTCCAACATTCCATCGAAGGAAGCGAATTCACGCATTTTACCGACCATAAACCTCTTACCTTCTCTTTAAGTTCATCTTCAGACAAGTACTCACCGCGAGAGTCTCGACAACTCGACTACATTTCGCAGTTTAC